ATAAGGGTAATGAGACAGCAGGAATCCAAAAGAAAAAAAACGGGGGAAGAAGACCACAGAAAGCAAGACCATCGACCCTGAACTGGGACCGTCTTTTTCACCTCAGGTGACTAAGGTCAAAGAAAGCTTTACAAGCGGGTAAGATCTGAGCCAAATTTTGAAAGAAGTGTGGGATTTACATAAATGACAAGACATGAGAAAAGCATTTCAGGCAAAATGGACATGAACAGACATGAAAACACTTGAGACTTCACATATATTCAAGGGACGATGGACCTGTCATTTGCTTTGAGTCAATGTTCCATGTTGGACAGTAAGACATTATGTGGAAGAAGTATACGTACTTTTAAATGAACTTTTTCTTCAGAAAAACATTTCTTTTTTATATATGATATACGGTGGCTGTCAGGATTAAATGAGGTAAATAAAAATTTTAAGGTATTTAATAAGGGTTCAGTGTTCTCTCTTAAAACCCTAAAAAGTTATCTAAAATCTACTTCTCTCACTGTATGTTTCCAGGAAACAGACATTACAGCCTAGCACTTACCAAAAGTATATTAAGATTAAATAAAAGGCTAGTAAATGTCAATAGTATAAATACCTAAAGTGCAACAGGAATAAAGAATATTAAAAGACTGTGACACTCAAAACTAGAGACAAATAAATATCCCAAGCTAGAAATCAAAGGGCTACTAACTAACTGTTTATACATTTTTAGGCAAAAACAAGTATAAACTATACGGCTCTTTAACAACCATATCACCCTTTGCGAAGACTTAATTACTCTTTTATTTCCAACTATTAGGAATCTATTCTGATGGTCTGTATTTTTGCTCTAAAACCAAAAAATCCAATTGGCCTCTTTTCCTACTAGAGGTTTGAGACCATCTGACAAACAAAGTCTTCTAGAAATATACACAGTTAATCTAACAGAAACAAATTCACTTTTTCCTGACCTTGCCTGTTAATATTATCTGGAGAAAAGCAAAACCACCACCATAAAAAATATGCAATGGGAAAATGAGAGTCTCTTTAACAAATGGTGCTGGGAAAACTGGACAGCTACCTGCAGAAGAATGAAACTGGACCACTTTCTTACACCATACATAAAAATAAACTAAAAATGAATTAAAGACCTAAATATGAGACCTGAAACCATAAAAATCCTAGAAGGGAGCACAGGTAGTAACTTTTCTGACATTGGCCATAGCAAAGTTTTTCTAGATATATCTCAAAAGAAATAAAAGCAAAACTACGGGCACCTGAGTGGCTTAGTCGGTTAAGTGTCTGACTCGGTTTCAGCTCAGGTCGTAATCTTGTGGTCATGGAATCAAGCCCTGTGGCAGGGTCCACGCTCAGTGCAGAGTCTGGTTTGGATTCTCTCTCCCTCTCCCTCTGCCCTTCCCCCCACTCGTGCTCTCTATCTCTCAAATAAATAAATAAAATCTTAAAAAAAAAAAAGCAAAAATAAACCACCAGGACTACATTACAATAAAAAGCTTCTACACAGGTGAAGTAAACAATCAACAAAATTAAAAGGCAGCCTACTGAATGGGAGAAGATATTTGCAAATCACATATACAGTTAAGGGCTAGTATCCAAAATCTGTAAAGAGCTTATATAACTCAACATCCAAAAACCAAATAATCCAATTTAAAAATGGGCAGAAGACATCAACAGACCTTTTTCCAAAGAAGACAGACAGAGAGCCAACAGACACATGAAGAAAACTGCTCAACATCACTCATCATCAGGGAAATGTAAATCAAAAGTATAATCTGCTATCACCTCACACCTGTCAGAATGGATAAAATCAAAAACACAAGAAATCACAAGTGTTGGTGAGGATGTGGAGAAAGAGGAACCCTGGTGCACTGCTGGTGGGAACGCAAACTGGTGTAGGCACTGTGGGAAACAGTATGAAGGTTCCTCAAAAGCTTAAAAATAGGGGCACCTGGCTGGCTCAGTTAGTAGAGCATCCAACTCTTGCTCTCAGGGTCGTGAATTTGAGCCCCACATTAGGTGTGGAGCTGAATGAATGAATGAATGAATGAATGAATAAATAAATAAATAAATAAATAAATAAATAAGGTTAAAAACAGAGCTGCCTACAATCCAGTAATTGCACCACTGGGTATTTACCCAAAAAATACAAAAACATTAATTCAAAGGGATACATGCACTCCTCTGTTTATAGCAGCATTATTTACATCAGCCAAATTATGGAAGTAGCCCAAGTGTCCATTTATAGATGAGTGGATAAAGAAGATGTGGTGTATATATACAATGGAATATTATTCCAGCCATAAAAAAGAATGAAATCTTGCCATTTGCAACAACATGGATAGAGGTAGAGTATACTCCTAAGCAAAATTAGAGAAAGACAAATACCCTATGATTTCACTCATACATGCAATCTAAGAAACAAACGAGCAAAGAAAAAAGAAAGAGAGAGAGACAAACCAAGAAACAGATTCTTAACTATAGATAACAAATATATGGTTACCAGAGGGGAATGGGGTGGGGATGGGTGAAATAGATGAGGGGGATTGAAGAGTACACTTTTCGCGATGAGAACTGAGTAATGTTAAAAAAAAAAAAAAAAACAATAACAACGAAGTTGAAAGACTCACACTCCCCACTTGCAAAACTTACTACAAAACTGCAATAATCACTACAGTGTGCCACACTGTAGCACAGTATAGACCTATGGAACAATGGAATAGATCAGAGAGCCCAGAAATAAATTCTCACATATGTGGTCAATTGATTTTCAATTCAGTGCCAGGACCACTCAATGGGGAAAGGATCGATTTTCAAACAAATGGTACTGAGAAAACTGGATATCCACAAGAATGAAATCATACCTGTATAGAAAAGTTGGCTCCAAATGGACCAAAGATCTAAATTTAAGAGCTAAAACTGTAAAACTCTTAGAAGATTACACTGTGGAAAATCTTCATGACCTTGGATTTGGCAACCATTTCTCACTTATGATGTCAAAAGCAGAGGCAACAAAAGAGAAAGATAAATTGGGCTTCATAAAAATTAAAAATTTTATGCATTAAAGGACACTATCAAGAAAGTGAAAAGAAAACACACAAAATGGGAGAAAATATTTGTTAAGTCATATATCTGATAAAGGATTGATATCCAGAATACATAAAGAACTCCTACAAGTTAACAACAAAAAACATACCCAATCTAAAGATGGGCAAAGACCCAGCAAGCACATAAAAAGATGCTCATCATTAGTCGTTACGGAAATGCAAACCAAAACCACAGTCAGATAACACTTCATACATACACTGGCTGGCTATAATTTTTAAAAAGTATTTTTTTAAATGGAAAATAACAAGTACTGATGAGGATGTAGAGAAACTGCAATGCTCATACACTGCTAGTAGGAATATAAAATAGTAAGCCACTGTGGAAAACAGTTTGGCAGTTCCCCAAAATTGTTAAACACAGAATTACCATGTGACCCAGCAATTCCATGTCTGAGCATATAATCAAAAGAATTAAAAACAGGGACTCAAACAGAAACTTAGGTATAATACTTATAGCAGCATTATTCACCATAGTGAAGGTGAAAACAACCCAAGTGTACATCAACAGATGAATGGATAAGAAAATATAGTATGTACAAACAAAAGAATATTACTCAGCCATAAAAAGGAATGGAGTTCTGACACATTCTCTAACAGGTGAACCTTGAAAACTTCATGCTAAGTGAAATAGGCCAGGCACAACAGGACAATTATTGTATGATTCCACTTATATGAGATATCTACTATAGGCAAATGCATATTAAAAGCAGAATAGAGACTACTAGGGGTTAGGGGGAATGGGGAATTATGACTCACTGAGTACAACATTTCTGTTTGGGATGATGAAAATGTTCTGGGAATAGTGATAATCATTACACAATTCTGTGAATGGACTTAATACACTTAATTGTACATGTAAAAATGATTAAAATGGTAAATTTTATGTTATGTGTATTAACATAGCATAATTTCTGAACCAATAAAAAAATATAATTACTTGTCATAGTTAAGGGAAATGTTACAACTTTTACCTACATAGGAATCTAGTACCACAGTAATTAAGTATAATACTTTCATAAGCAAACAAATCAACTACCTTTTTTTTTTTTTTTTTACAAACTGTATTCAGAGAAGTTTACTTATTTAGGTAGGCTTCCAAAAGAATCAAAGGCTTAGATAAAATTAAATTGCCTAATAGTTGTATGCCAGTCTCATTAAACCCAAGACATATCAACATTTTGTAACTTAAAATCTACAGAACCTGTAATTTTTGAATTATTTTTCATATTCAATTATTTGTAAGTTTTCAATGTTACCTACAATTAAGGAAAAAAATTTAAAATGTTCTCTATTGAAAAACAAACCTTAAGAATTTTGCTAAACTACTTAGGAGGATAAGAGAAGTCCAATGATATGATCTAACATATGATATTAGAGCTATAAATTAAAGTTTTAAGAAGTCAACTTTCTGAAAGGTACAGCAACTCTCTCCCTGACTGTTCTCAAAAAAAGCTTTGAAATCAGATCTTAGAAATCACAGAAGCTAAAAGTATTTTGATTTCCTTCTTTTAAAAAAATATAGTGGGAGGGGGGCACATGGGTGGCTCAGTTGGTTAAGTACCTGCCTTTGGCTCAGGTCATGATCCTTGGGTACTGGGATCGAGTCCCACGTTGGGCTCCCTGCTCAGCGGGGAGTCTGCTTCCCCCTCTCCCTCTGTCCCTGCCCCCTGCTTGTGCTCTCTCTCTTTCAAATAAATAAGTAAAAATCTTTAAATAGATGTGTGTGTGTGTGTGTGTGTGTGTGTGTATATAGTTGGAGGATTTGAGAGTGAGAGAAGACAAAACTAATATTCCAGTAGTGGCCAAGGTGTTTAATGTCAGCCATTACTTAGTTTTGTTTCTCATTATTTCTCATTATATTTTGGTTTTTTTTCCTTGTTTTGCATTAAAAAAAATATGAATCACTTCACAAATTTATGTGTCATCTTTGTGCAGGGGCCATGCTAATCTTCTCTGTATTGTTCCAATTTTAGTATATGTGCTGCTCAAGTGAGCAGTGTTTTATATTTTTAATTCATATTTTTCATATATTTTAATTGAGGCATAAATATTTACGCACAATGGTTAACTCTTATAAAGCATAGCTCTTAAGTATACAGTTCATGATATGTTACAAATGCATGTATCTAAGTAATTTACCCCAACCTCAAGAGACAGAACATTTCCATCACCCCCAGGAAGTTTCCTGTGTGTCCTCCTAGTCATTCTGGAAGTCTCCTCCCTTACCCCCAGAGGCAATATTCACTTATCTTGCTATTGATATTGATATTTATCCATATTGCTGCATGTATACATAATCTTCTGCTTTTTATTGCCAAAAAGTATTCCACAGTAGGAATATATGAAAACCTATCTATTTTCCTATTAATACACAAGGAGTTGTTTCTGGTTTGGAGCCATCATGAATAAAGCTGTTATGAACATTCCTGAACAAGTCTCTCGTGTGAACATGTATTTTGTTTCCCTTGGGAGTAATTATGTAGGAATGAAAATGCTAGATCATAAAGTAGGTATATGGTGAACTTTATAAGAAAATGCCAAAAGATTTTTTTAAAATATTGTACCACTTTACACTCCCATCAGCAATCTATCAGAAGTCCAGTTGCTCTACATCTTCACCAAAATCTGGTGTGGTCAAACTGTTTTTTTTTTTTTTAATAAAGTTTAGTGAAGTTTAATTTATATATGAGTGTACCCCTTTAAAATGTACAGTTCAATGAATTCTGGCCACTGTACACACCCACAGAACCATAGCCACCAAACAATCAAGAACATTTTCATCTCCCCAACTCCCTTCATGCTTCTTTGCAATCAAAGCCCTCCCAGCTCCAGGCAACCACTGATCTACTCTCTCTCACTATAGATTACTCAGTTCTGCAATTTTTATGTAAGTAGAATCACGTACTCTTCCAACTCAGGCTTTTTTCTTAGCATTTTGAGATTCATTCATGGTACCGAGTGTATCAACAGTTTGTTCTTTTTAAATTTCTGAGTAGTATTCCATTACATGGATATACCATAATTTGTCTGTTGATGGATTTGGGGCGGTTTCAAATTTGGGAATACTATGAATAAAGCTGTTAATGAACATTCATATACAAGTCTTTTTGTGGACATTGTTTTCAATTCCCTTAGTAAGTCCCTAGGAGTGGGCCACATAATAAATATATGCTTCACTTCTGAAAACTGCCAAAATATTGTCCTAAGTGGCTATGTCATTTTACATCCCTCTCACAATGTTTGAGTTCAGCTGCCCCACATACCCAATAACCCTTCGTATTTTTATTCTTCTTAATTTTAGCTATTCTAGTGGGAGTACAGTGGCAGTTCA